CTTGGGAAGTAGAGGACATCTCCAGCAACAAGCTCTGTATCAAGAATGGGTTCACCAATTTCTTCTTGTGTAAAGTTTTCTGCCAAAGGATTCAAATTTGTGTTGTGTAAAAAGACAACATACTGATAGTCATTCAAAAAAATGAAAATTTTCAGACTATACAAGGAGTACCGTAAATGTATATTGTAAATAAGTATTTTTAACAAGTTAAAAAAGAAAAAATAAAAACAGCTAAGAAATTTAATTTTCAAGGTTTTTTCATTTTGATAGTGGTAGGATGAAAAGGCAGTAATAGTTTGACAACTTTTAATCTTTTAACCCCTTATGGTGATCACCAACTATAGCAGCTCTTGATTATTAAACAAATTCTCTTTGTCAGCACCTTGGGAAATGTATAGTGAATAGTATGGAGAATATGGATACTGATATCAGGGTTAAAGAGTTAACATAGCCTGACCAATTTATACTGAAGTATTTTTTTAAATCTCTTTTTTCTAGGTTACTCTTATCTATTGTACATGGAAGGTAGTTCCTTATCATTTTTATCAATCCCTGAAGTGTCTGGCTTCTAATTTCTTCCAACAGTATCACCCTTGAATCAAATGCAGAGGCTCCTGATTGTCAAACAAATTCTCCTTGTCAGCACCATAGGAAATGCATGGTGAACAGTAGGGAGAATATCCACACTGATATTAGGGAGAAAATGAGTCATTGGTTTATTGGTCAATTGATGGCAAGATTGATTGATTGATTTGTTGACTGACCTTTGTGTAACCTACATGTTGTCGCATGTAATTAAGTACTTCCCTATAATAACACAAATGTAAAATATACATATCTTTTTTTACGTGAAAATGCAAGACTTACCACTAGAGTACCTTGGTAAGGCTTCAGCATCACATCTGGAAAAAACAAAAATATTAACATGGGAGATGAAGGAAACAAATCTTTCCAAATCAAACTACAAAGATATAAAGAAGACAATTACTATTCAAATCACAAAAGGCATATGTACCATAAAATCAGTCTTCTGTCTTTGAATGTTCTTTGGTAGTTCTCAGCTCTATAGTTCATTTACATGTACCTTGGATTGTAAAGTCTCCAGTGTTTTTTCCCCTCCAGTTGCACAACAAAGGCCTCAATGTCATCATAATGCGGGGCAAAGCCTTGAGAGCCAGCTGGAGTTAGATAACTAAAGTAAAAATAAACACAGTTTTGATTTAATATTAACCCTTTAACTTCCACCTGAGTGATAAACATGTAACTTCTTCCAATAATAATAGTGGAGGCGTGGTGGCCTCATGGTTAGTGTGCTCGACTGTGGATCAAGTAGTCCGGGTTTGAGCCCTGGCCATGGTCATTGTGTTGTGTTCTTAGGCAAGACACTTTACTCTCAAAGTGCTTCTCTTCACCCAGGTGTACAAATGGGTACCAGAAAAAATGAGGGGAGTAACCCTGCAATGGACTAGCATCCCATCCAGGGGGGGTAGCTCTACTCCTCGCCGCTTCATGCTAATGAAACTGGAGTTAAGCATTGGCCCCATGGGCCACTTGGGCCTGTATAAAGGCTTTACTATTTTTTTTTTGTCCCAATAATATCCATTTATCATCAGAAAACAGGTAAAGAGAAAACTCCAATTTGATCTAACACCAAGATTTCACAACAGATATTGAATCTTTCCCTATTCTCTGCAAGACTACATGCAACTACATGTTGTATGCCAAATGACTTTCATACAAGCATAGTCTCACACTTTTTAAGATTATACTAGGGTAAAATGCATCTTCATTTCATTCACATGTAGAATGGAAGAGTTATTTGTTATCAATAAAAAACATTTTAGAAACAGCAGCTTACACGTTGGCACCAACCAGACAACCAAAATACTCCTGAAGAAGGGAAGTCAATTTCCACACTGAATGTGAAAAAGCTTGAGGATTGAGGAAACGAACAGAACAGCCATTCTAAAAATGAAAAAAATTGATTCACCTCTAATTTAAAATAAAATCCAACAAAATAGAAAATAGAGATAACCAGTTACTTTTTCGTAAGAAATGTCATACTATGCAAGAATGATAAATAGAAGGCTTTCTGGAAATTAAAAAAAAATACATAATTATGCTGCACTAATAATTTTAATTAGAGAAATGATTTTCATGATAATAAGGAAAATGACATTAATAATAATAATAATAATAATAATAATAATACTAACAATAGTAACAATCATAGAAACACTAATAATAATTCAAATAGCAGTCCACTCTCAGGTGGTTTAGGAAAGGCTCTCCACACATTTTTTATCACTTCAAACAACAAACTTCAATAAGTAATATTCTAGGTTACAAAAGACTTAAAAATGCAAGTAAAATTTTAATATTATTTTAAATTAAAGGAAAACATCACATTGACCATGCAAAATAACTCATTTTTTAATGGGAACAATAAAAGTGAAAATAATCTCAGAAATTTTTAAAAGGATTCATTCTTTCACTCCCAGCTTAAATGTGATTAAAAAGGAAATTCTTCCTACAGTATCAATACATTTCAAAGCAGAAAGACAACAAGGAGAATGAAAAATATATTAACTAAGGGCTACTGTTCCATTGAAAAACAACTTCTCTATGCTAGAATTAAAAAAGATGAATAGCTTACAGTGTGAAGAATTAATCTTTTGATCTTCATACCTCATAATAATCCCATACTACTGGAGCATGAGCTCTCCCTGAAGGATTGTGGGTCTCTCGTTGTCCATTTTTATAAGATGTCACATCCAGATTGGTTGAGAATAGAACTCGGTGCTGAAAATGGTATTTCAATCAAGAAGAGAGATTATTTCACAAGAGACACATAAACCATGAAATTTTTAGATTATTCAAACAGCATCTGATTGAATCATAGTTCTGTAATTGCTTAGGGTTAGATAGGTAGGTTAACCCTAAACCCTAAGCAATCACAATGCTGGGGGTACTAATTATGATAAACTCAGCTCTCAAGACAAGAGGTCCACACTGCTAAGGTTATCATGGTTTTATAGCATGCAGTGGGCAAGGGTACTTCTACCCCTCCTGGATAGGATGTTAGTTCACTGCAGATTACCACCCCCTTCTGCCCTAAATGGAAGTTTCCTTGTATCCTATCTGGTGTCTGCTGATACTCATGAGGAGTAGGAAGAAACAATGGTTGAGTAAAGTCTATTGTTCAAGAACAGAACACAATGACTTGGCCTGCAACCCTGAGGGCTCCCTAAACAAAATTAATCACCCACATGGGTGGATCCTCCCCTAGTTCCCAAAGCATAAAATGATTTTAAGTTTTGATTCTTCCCCTGGATGTGATGCTAATACTTGAAGGTTACCCTCTCTCCACCCCCAACAGATTGTGAATTTCCTATTCAGCTACCAGATACCTATTCTTCTTGTGGATAGAGAGAGGCACACTGTGAGTGTCTAGCTTGGTCTTTCCCAAGAACACAACACCATGACCCAGCCTGAACTTGAACCTGAACTTTTAATCTAGAATCCAGTGCATAAAGCATTTGGTTAATCCTTAACCCCTACGAGTGACAGTCATTTAATTTTTCCTTACAGTATCATTACTGAATCAAACATTAAGGGAATGATGATCAGCTTAAGACGTTCTTGATCGTTAAACATATTCTCCCCATAGTTATCATAAAGAACATATGGACAACAGTGCAGAGAATATGCACAATGATGTTAGGGTGTAAAGGCCTAATGTGTCTCAGTCAGTATCATGCATTTTTAGTTCAATTTCATCACCAAAACTCAGGCAATGCATTTCCTATAAAGACGGCAAAATTAATAAAAAGCTGACATGTACCTCTCTAAGAATAGTATCTAATTCTTTTGTGCTGAACCAGCCATCATTATAGGTTAGATGATGTCTCTTGATCAACAGGGGTTTCTGTTCCCATACGTCACTACACAAAAAGAAAAGAAAAGATTAATTGTTAATATATCTACCTAAATGAGTGTGTTTGGTGAAGAGGTGTTTGTGCTCACACTTGACTTCTGAGGAGTTCAGAATATTTCAGCTTCTCTGAAGAAAAATCTAGATTCCATAGGAATTACAATCCACCATCCTAAGTAAGGGGGGGGGGGAGAGGGTGGAGGTAAAAAAAAAAAATGGAATGTTCTATTAGGATTCAGTTGCGTGTTATTGATCTTGGTTCTTGTCGTTTTCGTTTCCAATAACTGTAGATCAGTACAGTTTGAGTCTCTGGGTCAAAAACACTGTTCCGAAAACAAACTAATAATTCCCTGTGGAAAGTCAACGGTTAAACCTATACCTGAAAAATTTCCCGGGTTTCACTGGACTTATCAACCAGGAGAAAAGTCTGTCAGCTTCTATATCTCCTTGTTCCGAGTTCCACTTGGCTTGCTCTTCCTCAGAAGGTTCTTCATTCCCGGTCTCACTATCTGTTCTGTCTGATTTATCAGCGGGCAAGTTATGCACGGTCAAGTTACTTGAAGACTTTTCCTGTAAATCTACACGATCATAACTTTGATAGCCATTCCTCTTCTTTTTCCGGCTAGACAAGGACAGACTCTGTCTGAGTCTGTTAGCTTTACTAAGTAACTTCCCTTTTCCTTTCTGTTTAGGTTCTAGAATGTCTGGTGTACGTTCCTCGTGATCGAATATCCCATTTGTTCCGTCGTCGTCCAAACTTTTACTGCCGCGCAATTTGCTCACTTTCTTTGAGGTGCTCTTCGAAGGATTTTCGTCGAGCGGCCTTTTCTTTGATCCAGACGGTTGATTGGCCTTTTCCTCCACTTTCTGGGAACTTTCTTCATCCTTTCCAATCTGCGATTGATACACGGAAAACGCAGAGCGCCTTCTAGAACTCGACTTCATTTTTACGAGAAGATACTCGTGTGAACTTGATTCTCCCGCGTAATATATCAGCGGCTTTAGCAGTACTCGTATGCTCCGTGGTGCAATAGTACTGAGAATTCTCTTAGGAGTGGTTTGAGGAAGATGAGTGCGTCATCTCAACCAATTGATTTTTCTCGGCATCAGTTCTACGGGAAGACTTCGCGAGGCACCATCCTCGGAACTCACACTGTTGGGCTTGGATATGTCGTTGTTATGTTCGTCCTTCTTTTTTGGTTAGAAATTTTTGAAGTGATACCAATATTGTTTACGGACTCTGTCGGGCTGCTGGCGACAAATTTAATACTTTTTATCTACATTATGATCAATGCTGTTGGAAACTATTTCTACGTAGTAACGACTGACACATCTCATAAAAGGGTGGAGAAATTCAGCGAGGGGCGCGATGGAGATTTCTATTGCCAATCGTGCGAACAAAATTCGCCTCCAAGGTCACATCATTGTTCGTTTTGTGACAGGTGTATAGTTAGGCGTGACCATCATTGCTTCTTTGCGGCAGCCTGCATTGGTCACGCAAATGCGCGTTTCTTTGTCGTATTTAATTTTTTCGCATTCGTCGGATCAGCTTATGTGGCGATCATAAACTTATTTTATTTACATCTGAAAATCGGTCCTTTGATTCCTCTCAGTTTTGAGGCCATCTGCAAAGTTGTTCCACTTTTGACAGTCTTTAAAGTATGGAATGGAAGTGTCACGTTGTATTATTTCTTGGTGGTTGTTGTGACATGGCTATGTATTGTTCAAACTCTGGGTTGTGCCAGCTGTTGCTTCTTTCAACTGACATTGATTTTCTCTGGGCAAACAACCTATGAATGGCAACATAAAAATTTCATTTACAGCAAAGGTTGGAAGAAAAACTTCTATGACATTTGTGGACAAAAGTGGTACCTCTGGTGGTTTTTCCCTATTTTTCAGTGGCAAAAACTTGCATCAAGGGAGGAAGAATATTATGCACAGTATAGTTCTAAAACATCAAAGTATGTCTGAGTACATAATTATCATGATAATGGTCAATCATTTATTTTGCTTTCTCATCCAAGTATCCACAGAAGTATCTTACATACTCGTCTATGATAGGCTCAATAATCTGCCACTGTTTGGGAATATGAGCCCACACTCCCCCCCCTTGAACCAGGGAGGAGCAAAAAGTGGTCAGGAGAGAGCAGCAAAAATTGAGCTTAATCTATGATTACTCTACATTTTCTTCAAAGAAGGGGAAGTTCACTTTGAGTATCACTTGTTCCACTTTAGATCACCTTGAAGGGCAACCTTGTTGTGGTCAGATATTTAGAAGTAACCTCTACCTTTTTCTTTGGCTTATTTTGCCAATGCCACACTTCTTGCACTAAAATTATCACCAGTCCCTATTGACTGAGGGTTCAGAGCAGGCATGCTTGTTTGTAAGGGATTTCACAAGAAATGACAACCAACCTGAGTTGATTTAAGTGTATATTGTTCACACTCTTAATGGTGATTCAACTTGAACTACAAATCTATAAATCAATCTAGGCTATTGTCAAGAAGCCCTTAGCCTTAAAAGATATCTCATGTGGGGGAGCATGATACTATGTTTTCATGCATTGTTTAATAACATAGACTTAGCTAATACAAAATACTATTCTACATTACCCCAATACAATTCACTAAATTACTGTGCCAAGTTAATAACGTACTATAACAAGAGGGTAAGAGGGGTTTCTGCATGATGAGGGGATAAAGTGATCAAGGGATTAATTTTTGTGGCCTGTGAGAAGATGAAATTAACACCCTCAGAACTGTGAATTTTTGGCATTTACGGTAATTAACGATTTGCATGTTGTGTGCACAGGACCCCCCCACTCTACCTCCTCTAAAAATCACACACAGACACACCCGCCCACACCCATGCACACACACTTGAAATAAGTAAGGGTAGGAGAAGGGTATGAGCTGCAAGAGGCTTTATCCTAGTGAAGAATCATTTGGTTTCCTATTCAGGTTTTATTTTTATTTTGTTGCAACAACAGAAATTAAATGTGGACTAAAAAAAAAGAAGAATTGATGACTGAAAATAACAAATGAAGCAATTGATGCTCTATCCTATCTTAGGAGGATTGTGGGTTCATTTTCTGAACAGTGGTTCTTAATCGAGCGTATGGTCTACCTAACACTCAACAAAGTGCATCTGCATGTGCGACTGTTGTAATAACTAGGTGGGGTACTTTCAGGCTGTCAGAACCCTTTAACTCCCATAAGTGACCAAGACAGAATTTCTCCTTACAGTATCAATACAATATCAACCAGATGAGTGATGAGAACAAAGAAAATTATCAAATTGGGGATAGTTAGTTGATTTGATACTTAATTCTCTGAATTAACATTATAATAATTGTATGGTTGACAGTAAGGAGAATTACAAATTTGATCTGGGAGTTAAAGGGTTAAACAAGTTGCAAACAACCACACAAGCCAGTGAGTCATTGTGTTTTGGAATAAATTTCTTGAAGAAGCTTTGTGTTCAAAAGTCTCGAGTTTTCCTTTTTCCTACTTTTTTCTTTTACAGATTTCAATTTTCTTTTGTTTATTTTTTGAGACCGGTCGTTTCTTTGATTTTCATGTGAAATTATGCGCGAGAAATTGGCTCGCTGGCCGCCGAAATTAATGCTTCGCACATGCCTCATGTCACGCGACGCTCTGTCTTCCCGTACGTGTGAGCACGTTGCGTGACGTGATGAAACAACGAGTCGGAACGGATACTACGCGCAAAAGTAACATTAGTTTTTTTTCCCGTCTTAATAATCAATGTTATATTTGAAAAAACTAAGGCAATAGTTGAAATCAGAATTACATAGAAAAGCAGTTTTTCTGGAATGAGTATCGGGTTAGTTTGCGTGCCCTTCTGAATTTTTGGTCGTGGTTTTATGCGATGCGATATATTCGGGATAGTCAATATATCCGTCTGAATTTAAGTCATCCTCGTCCAAAATCTGGTCCACGGTTCTCGAATTAGCTTCGTCCGAAGTTTCCTCCTTGTCTGTTACTCCCGACTCGTTCTGATAATGGCTGATGGCATGCATAATCTCCAGTCCGTCCAGTTTTCTGTTTCCGTCGTAATCATGAAGTCGGAAGTAGTGGAACTGTAGGTCTTCATCACTCATTTCTTCTTCTTTGAACTCAATTTCCTCTTTTAGATGCTCCTTGATATGACTAAAATTGAAGCAAATTCTTGTGAAAAGCTGACCTTTCTGGCAAATTACTTGTGGATGACAAACTAAGGTAAAATAAACATAAAAAGTTCTTGCAGAAACAAGGTCAACAACACTTAAAAAAGACATTTTTAACTTAAAAGTTGTGAGTAACAACAGATCAGCCCATGACACCTTTATATCCTCTTTGGTGTGAAAAAGAAGGATTTCCGATCTGCAGAGCCGCAAAAAAGCGGCATAAGTGGAGACGATCCTGTTTTATCAAGTGAGTTGATAATATAAATTGGCCACCTTCCCGGTAAAGAATTTCTATGAGTCGGGCTGGCTTAGTTTTGCTAGGGTTTTGCCGAGATCTCGGCACTTTTCATTGGCGCAACAAAAATCAATTTCGTGATTACATGACAACCGAGCCAGCCCGGTTAGCCGGGATCCCGGTATCACAATGACTGGGCTGGCTCGGTTGCCATGTAATTTCTTGCGTTAAACTAAATTGACGAAATCTCAGCCAAACCTAATTGGCACAGCTCTTGTAACCAGGCCCTAAAGCTGACGTTCGAGCGTTCGCTCTGAATAACTCTCGAAACATCAACTTTAGAAACCCTCTACGGTAGCCACACTTACATTATCAATTCAGTCTAAATCCAAATTCTCTTTTTACCCCCCCCCCCCCCTCCCTCTCTCAACGACGCAGTACCACAGTTTCCCCTTTTTTCAGGAGTGGGGACGGTTTCATAGCGTTTTTTAACCCTTTCGCTTCCAAAAGTGATTAACCTGTAACTTCTCCCTATAATAACCATACGTTCTCCAACAGACTAGAAATGAGAATACTTAAAATTATCAGGTACAAATTGTTATCTTGATCGAGCCCAAATTCTCTCAACTTGTTTACAAGGAAATGTGTAGCAGCTAGAAGGGAGAATTGACAATCAGTTCTTGGGAGTTAGAGGGTTAATGGCGTGTTACTGATAAGAATGACCCAGTCACTCTAGGCCAAAATGTTTCTTGCTATTTTTGTTTGGCTTCCTTTTTAATACGACTTTTCTTTGTTCCACCGTTCCTGTAGAACAGTTTCCTTGTCTATTTTGGGAGATTGAGTGCTGGCCATCGTTTGTCACATTGCGCCGTTTTGTTTTTTCTCAGGCCGAATAAGTAGGTAGTCAGTAGGGTTACTCTTCAGTCACACTCGACTGGCCTGGTTTTTCACACTTCACGCATGCCTCGTTTCGCGTTCGCATGGATTATCACATTACGAAGCAGGTGCAATTTGAATGCTGCAAATTTAACCATTTGAAATCATGTTTACCTATACAAACACAGACGAAAATAACCGGTGTGCATACTTTTCACACAGAAAAATTTACTGGCTTTTTCGAAAAAAAACCAGCAGCATGCAAGTGTGGGTCGTATTAAATTATACCTCCCGAAATGTGATAAAATTATATGTTTGAGATAGCAACAGAGCGGTAAACAAGTTAAAATATATGAATAATTGGACCATTTACATCGACCTTCACACACAGTCAAGCGGTACGATTTCACACTTTCAATATTGCAGCACCAAGTCCTGATTCAAATGGATATATTTCTATTTTGTCTAAATATTATTGATAAATATTTTAGGTGGCATTCGCTTGGTACTGAAAACCATAGTGATCTTCAAAGCGCACATTAGGATTTCAACTGTTTAGTTAGGTACTTTTTGATGTAAAGTTACTTACTCTCGATCGTGCGTGACTTTGGAATCGTGTAGAACCGATTTCGCCTCTTCACCGGCACGTGCGAAAGATCCGCCGAAGAGAGCAACAATGAAAATACACCGCATACTCAAGGGTGCCATCCTTATTTTTGATGTCTGTGTGCCGTAATATTCTGTAAATTACCAGGCTTGCCACAAATTGTCACCATTCGCTTAGACAATTTACGTATGCTAATTCAGCTAATTACTTTGTTAATGCCTGCGTCTATTCTTAACTTTATTTTCCGTCAAACGGAGACTACGTATGGAATTTCGATTGGTGAAAACCACAAAGGGATATCAAGAACAATTGAAATTTATCGCTTCATTGCTGTTTTCCATCGCAAATAGTCTGAAGAGATGTGTCGATTATCTTCTTGTTCCAGGCTACAAATGATAAATTTGTGTCAAATTAAAGAATTTTCAAGTATCTTTTGATCAGCTTACTCGAGCTGTCTAGGCCTACAGCTTGATGATTCGTGTGAAGGCGCAACGCACCTCTATCACAATGGGTTGGTTGTTACTCTTTACGTCCCAACATCAGTACGCAAGTTCTCCTTACTGTTATTTATACAATTTCTATGATGCTGACAAGGAGACCTCAATTAACAATCCGAAGCTTGAAGAATTTGTGATCATTTCTTGTATTCTCTTGACATTAATGTTTTATTCAGGGTGATATTGTTGGGAGAATTTAGATGCTTGCTAAAAAAAGGAAATGATTAAGGGAGGTAGCTTTTCGTGCGCTCGATGAAAGTAATGAAGGAGTTGGACGTGAGAAAACGAGAGGTACAGCTGATACCCTTTGTGACTCTGCCCAATAAAACTTTAACAAAACAGTCAGCTGCACCGGTTAAGTAAAAGCAATTGAATCATGTTCGATCGTGACTAGTCCCGAGGACTTCTTGTTGTCGGTAAAAGTGACCAACGATTCGACAACCTATGCGGAGGTCATCAAGACTCATCAGAGTCGAGCGTTTACCTGTATCGATATCATTCATTGAAGCACGGTGCGATTATTCTCTATGGGTATAAGTGTGGAAGCACTGTTAAGTGTTTTGGTATCTAAAAAAAAAACAAAATCTAGACAAGATCATTTCTGAGTAACCTGCAGTGCAGTTTCCGACGTCTTTTTGGGGAGCTAACGTTTCTCAGGCCAGCTTTGTTTGATTTGGAGTTAGAGTGGACGGTGGGGGTAGGGGGCGGGGAAAGGGCGAGAAGACTTCTCCCACCCCCAGTCGACCATCCCCTACAATTTGTCAAGCTAAGGAAGGCTAACTTAGATGCATCCTACTAAAAAGTCGAGTGGAGTTGTAAAAAATAGTATTTTGTAAAGTGGAGTAATTAGGTCTGTCCACATAACATAGGGTGCGCAGCTCCAGATGGCGTAATAGGCGATTGTGCCGTGCGGCAAAACCCAAATCCTAGAGCTTGCCTGCCATCGAAACAGATGGCAGTGAGAAGTCTTACAGGCGGCGGTAGACCGCCAATAACTGGCTTTTATTGAAACTCCTAACGTTTAAGGTTCGAAAGATCTCTCTTGAAGGATGACGATAATCCTTTTTTTCTGTTCTATTCCAGTAAGTATTGGTTTGTTTTTCGCTTCTTGTTACGTTTTGTTTGTTAACTTATATTTGATTTGTTTTACTTTGCCTTTTTATACTATATTTGTGTTTTTCTTCTTGTTTCGTATTTTTTTAAAAAGTTGAATCCAAAGGGCACATCTCACAACGAACACTACGCATTCTTTAAAATTATTTTCTCTTTTTTATTTCATCTTTTTTTTCCAAAGAAGCTGCAATCGTTCAATTAATTTATTAAAGATATTTTACAGATCCTCTAAAGTTGATAAGATAACTAATACTAGACATGACAGTTGAACAAGCCACTGTATACCTGAAAAAAAAAGTACATAATACGATGAAAAAAAACAAAAAAAAAATTCATAACTTGTTTAATAGTTTTTAAGCTAAACCCATTACACCCAAACAAAAAGTTATGGTTTTTAAAAAGTTCTTGTTTTCCTTGGTAAAGTTTCTAAAGGAACTAGGGAGAATGTTCCTTCATAGGGCAGCTTTGTGCTTAGAATTATTTCATTAAACGCAATTGAGGTGGCAACTTGGAGTGCTAATGTATGCACATATGCATGTATGTTCTATATGTTTATGATACGTATAGAAGAAAATTTTTAATTTAATTCTATGGGTATAGCCATTTGCTGCCAAATTTTACACCCAGAGAGTGACTGGTATCTAATTTCTCCTTACAGGATGACCCCTGAATCAAAAACGCACTAAAGAGGCTCTACACTGTTAAGCAAACTCTCCTTATCAATACCTTGGGAATTTTACTGAGGAGAGTAGGGAGAATATGCATATGGATGTTAGGGTAGAAAAGGTTAATCCTTTAACCCCTAAGGGTGACTAGCATCTAATTTCCCCTTACAATATCACCCCTGTATCACACATTAAGGTAATGAGATGAGAATAAAGAAAATGATCAACAGCCCAAAGAAGCTCTTGATTGTTAAACAAATTCTCCTTGTCTGCACCTAAGGAAATGTATAGAGAACAGTATGGAGAATATGCAGACTGATTTTGGGTTAGAAAAGGTTGATGTGTGTGAAATAGTCTAACAATGGGTAGTGAGGTGCAAAGAATCTCTGAGACTACAGTTTGGACAAAACTGATCAAAATCTTTTACAGGAATAACTGTTCTTCCTCTATCAGCTTCATCCAAAAAAGTCTCTTTTTTCCCCCCATTGTTTGTGTTGTTTTTTTTTTTCACCAGAAGAAAAACAGCCAATGATTAAAAATAAGAAATTTGTCACCCACCAAAGGTATTGCAAATGAGGATGATCCACAAATCCAAAAACAGGAGCAGCCAGCGAACAGCCAACAAGAGCCAGCTGTAAAACTGTGTTGGCCTAAAACAATGAAGGAAAGTTAAATAATAAACAGAGGCTCTTACATTATGATACAAATTTGTCATGATTGGTTATCAAACAACTGGAACCACCAGATTAACAAATGCCAACGTCAGCCTTTTTTGAAACACATTTTTGCAAATTAAGTTATATTAAAAAACAATCTCAATAAGAGATAGCAAGTGGTAGGATAGTGTTAGCTTTCAGAACAGGCGTAATCTTGGCAAGTAAGTGCTCGATATTTTCTTGATGAAAATTATAGCTGCCATCTTTGATTTTACAGCAGCAGAGAGCATAGATATGTATTCCATGGGAGTAAGGAAGGAAAAGGAGAGGGGAGGGTGTAGGCTAAGGGTTGTGCAGTTTAACTCATATTTAAGTGTATGCTATCTTAAACTGTGGGCAAATCTCACTGACAAGTGATTTCCATCAAATTTAATTACATCCTTTCTTCATTAACTTTTAATTCTGATTCTAGATTTTGGCTACAAAAGAAACTTAATATTTTACAAAAGGTTATCAAGTTTAGAAATTCTTAAAGCTTTGAAAGTAAACTATATATAACCTTGGTCAGTAACTGATGCATGTATGCACTAACTTTGGTCTTGATAAAAAATGAAATTCTCTCCACTAAATCTTAAGGAAATGTAGAGCAATTGGCAGAGAGAAATAAAAATCAGATCTGAGGAGTTGACTGACCTTGCCAAGAAAGTTGGGTCTAAGCTCCACTGTAGGTAAGTTAAAATCAAAGTACCTGGAAATTGTTTTCTAAAGAAATCAACACAAAATTGTTTTAACAAGAAAATAAGACAAATGAACACATTTAAATACTGCATTGCCAGCATTTGTTTGTTGTGAAATAATAAAAAGATTGAGTGAGGTAAAACCTACCGGTGATGGAAGTGACTTGTATCTCAAGTAAAAAGCATAGCCAATCAAAAGAGCATCTCGACTCAGAATCAATGCAGTCAGGGTTACTAATGAGAGAGAAAGAAAAAAGGGTATCAGATGAAGTTCAAGAGGACTCTGAAATCAGTTTGAGCCTTGCAGTGCTGATAAGCTCACCCAAATTTGCAAATTTCAATTTGCTGCACCTTCTGCCATGCATTTCTTTATGCCATGCAGTGTTCCTTCATTGATAAACAAGGGTTACAGCAAGTCACAGCTGCACTGTATTTTATATCGCTGCATTAAAACATTTAACTTTGGTCTCAGACCTTCATGGCCAATGTTGTCATTTTTAACATAATCTTGATCAGTACTCTAGTTTTCGTTATCATTGAGATTTTTGTAATCATCATCATTATCACTATCATCATCATCGTCGTCATCATCAGGGACCTTTTTATAACTTAGCTTAACTACACCTAACCCTAGCCATCTGACACACTCGTATTCTTTTAATCATAAAAAAAGAAATTACAACCTACAGTTACTTATGATATCTAAAAACAGTTTCAGTATATACTAGAAGGCATTAAAGGCATGCTCTAATTGGCTTCTCAAACTCTAACTATCTTTTGCTGTTCATCTCCAAGCAACTCACGTGGGTATATGTGCCCAAAAAAATTGTAATTGTTGCAGGAATACATGTAAAAGAGTTCAAATCATGTCTTTGGGCAATATTATCTCTGTGTATAGGTAAATACAGAAACAACTATTCAACCATTCACCTCACTGTTGGTGGATAGCAGTGGATATTTCTGCTGTGCAGCTTGGTTAATACCCACCACTAACCACCTCCACTACTGTGGATAGTTGTTAACTCTTGATAAACTTAATTAGTTTTTTATTCTCAAGTCTAAATAATTTACCTGGTAGAAGAGACACAACAGTGAGTGATATGGTCAGTACAGACATCAGAATCTTGTCAGCAAATGGATCTAAAACTGTGCCCAGCACTGATTTCTGGTTTTTAAAATTTCTTGCAATGAATCCATCAAGCTAAATGAACACAGGGATAAGCTGTATGGTCATAATTCACCTTAAATACTTTTCATCATTTTTCTTGTAACAAGTATTTAAGGTTAAAATTCCATGGGTAACTACAATCATACCCAAATACATGTCTTTCTAATAGAGAGTCATCTCACAGGGATACCAACTGAAAGAAGGTTATGTAGTATATATTTAACTGTACAACCCCGAAGAGTGACTAGCATCATAATATCACCCCTGTATAACCCATAAATGCAACAAGAATAAATGAGATGATCACTTATTATATAAGCTCTTAATTGTTAAACAAATTCTCCTTGTCAGCACCTTAGAAAATATACTGAGAACAGTATGGAGAATATGCATACTGATGTAAGGGTGTAAAGGGTCAATGAGTGCTTGGTTCAAGTTATTTTAATTGGACTCCATCCTGGACCCTTTGTCCCCTGACAGTGACTAGAATCTAATTTCTCTATACAATATCACCCCTGAATCACACATTGATGTCATGAGAAAAAAGGAAATGATCACCAACTGAAGAAGCTCTTAGTGCTAAACAGATTCTCCTTGCCTGCACCTTAGCAAATGTATAAGGAGCAGTATGGAGAATATGCATACTGATTCTAAGGTGTAAAGGGTTAATGAAAATTCACTGAAGAAACACAAAGTGTGATTAAAGCATTGTTCACTCATATCATACCATGTCAGTGACACCAGCGACACCAAAGAAAATTAAAGAGCTGACAAAATCCTCTGTAACTATCAGATAGCCAAGAACTGGAGTGATCACTATTCTGAAGGTGGACAGCAGATTTGGCACTGTATAAATATCCTCTTTCTTTAAAAAAAAAGAGAGATAGTGGAAAGAAATGTAGCCTGCTGCTGCCTGGAAACTGAAATTGTCATTCACTCACTCTGCACAAATTCTGTGTCAATTTGGGTGCAATGCAACTTTGATCATCATTAGATTAATACATGCCTGTACACTCCCATCAAATAATTTTTTATCACATACTGACAACATAGTGCATAGTGCATAGTGCATAGTGCTTTGGTATTGGAAAGCACAATCATGCCCATGATGTGATCATGTAGTATGATCATCTGGGTGGGGGCAGTCCTGAGCAAGACCGTTGTTGATATTGGTGACTGAGGTTTCAACAACCTTATGGAAGTCATTATCAGAGTCAAGTGAAGCATTGTTTTCAGTTGAGTGTCATAACTCTGGTTTAGACAATCAGACAACATGATCAAAATAATAACAAAATGCCAGGCAACTTGAAAAAGGAGGCAATACATGTATCTCCTGATGACTGCACAGGAGGCAAAAGTCATAGTCATTACCTTCCCCATCACCCTTCCGGCCCATGCCGCCTCTCGTTCACCTTACACACTTTCCTCCAACTAACCCCCAGGCAATATTTAGTTTTGGAATATAACATACCATTTCTTTCATCTTTTCCAGCTTCGTCTTGATTATTCCAGACACTGGTTTCGTCTTCCCAGGTTCCTCTACACCTCGCTGAAAATGAAAAGAAGTGGATCTATAGGTTCTTGATCCTTCCATCTTCCAAAACTTGTAGACGTCTTCCAGCACACATCTTCCGTGTTGCCAAATGAAGCCTCCAGAACGACGATCTTCAGACGAACGTCGACATCCGAGAAAACTGAAGGTAGAGACGAAGGTAGCAGGTATGATATATTTTGGTTTAAAAGGCAGGAATTTGGTGTTAAAGCATCCTTTTAGGGTTGAAGTCAGGCGAAGTATTTGGCAATTGCCGCAAACACCCGCCATCTTTCGTCCCTGTAGGAGCCAGTCTCTGTCGGAAAAGTAACACAGCGTAAAGCCTGGGTATCAGGACAAAAACATCATGGCGGCTGGAAAGGGCATCGTAAGAGGTGTCCAAGGGTTTTTCAAAAAACCAGCCGTAAAAAAAGTTGTAGACACTCTCTTTCCAGATCCCATGTCGAGATTGAAATACCAAGAAATTCTGTGGGACTTTAGCGATAAGGAGTCTCTCGAAAAGTGGACACTGATTACAGATGAACAGTTTGGTGGCAAATCAACAGCTGAATTTGTACAAAGCCCTGGGGGAAAAGCAGTGTTTCGAGGAAATCTATCGACAGAATTACCTCAAGCTACAAGTGTCAAGTACAGTGGTATGTGTGCTATCAGGGCGCAGCCGCACAGGGTTAGTTACAGGCCACATAGACTTAACCCCTCTAACTCCCTTGAGTGACTAAGACAGAATCTCTCCTTACAATATCAAAACAATATCAAGCAGACGAGTGATGAGAATGAGAAATTATAAATTCATAGATTATATGTAAATCAAATATCAAATTATCAGGAAAACATCATAGGAATTGTATGGTACACAGTAAGGAGAAATACTTATTAGATATTGGGATTTAAAGGGTTAAAGATAACAGCCACGATGTAAACCTGTACTAATTTGGAAAAATCAATGAAGAACTTTTAATCCTTCAATGTCATAAAATCATTTGAAGTTTGAGTGATTCAAGATTTCATGAAATACAGACCGTGAAATAAAATATATTATCATATTGGCAGATAACAACTTGCCTTATATTGTGAAGAAAATTTTTTTAAGTGCATTTTTTTTTCTCTTGATGATCCTGACATTTGATTCAGCAGTGATACAGTACTTAACCCTTTCACTCCCAAGATCTGATTCTCCCCTCTAGCTGCTTCACATTTCCTCTTAAATAAGTAACAAGAATTTGGTGTTAAATCAGGAAAACAACCTCTACTTGACAAGTTTAAGTATTCTCCTTACCTCTTTGCTAGATGATGAATGGATTTTATTGGGAGAAGTTACATGTCCATCACTTCTGGGAGTTAAAGGATTAAGGCGAATTTAGTTACAAGTCACTGTTAGGGATTTTTTTCTTTCAAATCTTGGATCTAATTGTTTGGAAAGATGAAAAATATATATGTGCAAACACTCCTAACTGGGAATTATTTGGTTACTCTCCAGGATTGGAAAGGTGATGTTACTGCAAATGATGTAACAGATTATGATGGTATTGTAATGAGAGTGCGAGGTGATGGTAGAACGTATGCACTGAATGTTCAAACGCAGAGCATCAGAGATGATGATATTCATCAATCTTTCTTTCATACAAGGGGAGGACCACTTTGGGAGACAGTAAAGGTACAGTTTTGAGAAAACATACACATAACTTTTTCAGCAAACAGTAGGACTCTAAGGAATAACAATTGTGTTGTTATAGGGGGGTTAAGTTTCTAGAGAAACTGTGGAGCTGCGTCAATGGGGGGTATTAGAAGATAATTTGGATCTATCAACTGACAAAGGGCAAAGACTCAAAAGGTCAGCATAAGGAAATCTTTATGGCGGCCAACTTGCATTTTCTGTTCAGTTGGTAACACCAGATACGTTAGCTTAGTTGGTGTTTCCAACCCTCAAACTCAGAGGATCTAACTTTTGGTTCTACCCATGAGCTGCTACCATCTCCATAAAATTATTTGGAGAATGTGGTATTATGTCAAGAAAACAATCTCTGGGTGTTACTGAAGTTATCTACTCTCATTTCCTATTTAATGGATTGCATAAATTGGTACTTTTAGGAAAGTTTGCATATGTACATGTATATTCAAGTTTAAGAATGCACATAGGATGTATGTTATAGTTTAAGATGATTCCTGGGTAAATTACTAAATACCAGAGGGGAGTAAAGAGCAACCAAAGTAAACTTGGAACTGCTAGTAAGAATTTGTATCTGAAAGGTTGCACAGGTTGCTCAAGCTCCAGCTGTGAGATGATCATCTTTCGTAATAAGCATTATGGCATAAATGTAAGAGTTTTTATGGCAATATTTAACATTAACATTTACCATCTTCCCCAAACCCCAATCCCTTCCCCCCCACCTCTTCATGCACAAGCCACTGAATGAGACCTTTGTTCATTCAGGGCTCATAAAGCTAAGGCAACACAGTTACAACATTAGGCAATGAGCATCATGATATGGTCATTCACTGTACTACATTTTCTGATGCAGTGAATACATTTCTTACCAGGTGCCATTCACAAAGTTTGTCCTGACCAATGCAGGTTACTTGCAGGATCAACAGATGGCATTTCCAAGGATACGCACATTAGGCTTCACATTAGCAGACTGGAACACAGGACCATTTCATTTAGAAATTGACTACATTAAGCTGGTTATGTTTATGTACCAACCAAAGCATTTCAAGTACCACTGGCAAAGCAAAGTTTAGATTTGTTACAATCCAGCCCCCTTTATGAAATTTTCCATGTTTTCCATGACTGCTAAATGTTTCAGTGGGAAAATGCAAGTTTGAATTTGTTTGTATTGGCCTCTGTTTCTGAATTTGGGCTTGTATTCAAGGACTAACGGTACATATCTGATGTATTTTCATGTACAAAATAATTTTCAAATTGTAATCCAAACTTTACCCATTGCAAGTTACACGTTAAAAAGCTAAACAACACAGATGAACTTTTTCTTCAGAGCACTGTCCTTCAATTTAGTAAACAGGTAAATGCCTCTCACGAAAATTTCAAATGCAGATGATTACAAGAATCATATTTAATGCAAAGGCTAAAGTTTGGACACTTGGGTGTCAGTCTTTTTTTTTTTTTTCTTTTTTTTCTTTTTTTTTTTTTGGCCTGGAAAAGATGTGGTATGATTTTTGAAATAGCTTGCGAGCATAGCCTCGCGATTAGCTTTTCAGCAAGAGCGTTTCTTTTCTTTTCGCCAGCGGGAAAGTTTGACTCCTTGAGTAACGAAAGCCGGCGAGAGGTCTGGAACGGGTCAAGCACTGATACCAGACCCTTACCAGACCCCCGGTAAATCTCTCCGGTTTGTCTCCAATCTTCCCGCAGGCGGAAAAACGTTTGTCCAGCAGCGCTCAATAAGAATAAGAGCCTGCCTGCAGGCTATTGCATTAACCTTTTACACCCTAAAATCAGTATGCATATTCTCCTTACTGTTCTCCATACATTTCCGAAGAGGCTGACAAGGAGAATTTGTCTAACAGTCAAGAGCTCCTTTGGTTGTTGATCATCTACTCTATTCTCACGACCTTTATGTTTTATTCAGGGTGAAATGGTAAGGAGAAATTAGATGCTAGTCATTCTGAGGGGTTAAAGGGTTAATCACGTCTTTCTCTTGTCTTTCTTTCCTGTAATTTTTTTGCGAAGATACCAGTCATGAGGCTTGCGCGCAACGATTTCCACTTGCAATGACTTATTTCTAATTTATGTTGGGCAACTCGATCACGTTTTTGAAAGTTCCTCAGAGTACATGTACGGTATGCAATTCTTTAGTCACCGTACCTGTGAAAAAAACACGAGGTGACAGATAGACAGGTAATTGCAGAGAAAAACGGAAACGCAAACAGCCAACAAAACTACGTGGTATTTGCGTCATAACTGTTTTTCGTCGTATCGTTATCTTTTCAGAATTTTCAGTACTGGACTTCTTAAAGTAATATGAAAAATAAAACAGGTTGAAATTATATCAAACGGACTTAAAAAATTTTTAATAAATGCGTGTGAGGAATTTTGATTGTCGCAAATTACTTGATGTTCTTGTTTAGAACCCTCAGCTCTCACGTGAAAATTGTTTCAAACGCCCTAACAATTCTTAAGGAATTCTGTTCTTCAGTGAACCTTTTTATAATAAGTCCCCATGGAATGGGTGGACAAGCACTGAAAGCTAGCAGGTTTCGCAAGCGTACTCCTTTCACATCTGCGAAAGACTGCCTGAGAAGCTGCAAGAAGCACTAGGAAAATAGCAGGGTAATGGAGGGTAAGAAAGGCATAGAGAACATTACTGACAGAAAGCTTGTTTGCGAAATGAAAGACGTGCTGAATAATTTGATTTCTCAGCTGTCAGCTGCCGGTCTTACAGTCCACGTGCTTCAAAATCGCGCTGTTGTCACTGAACGAAACGAACTGAGAGCGTTCAACGTTTTTGATGGAGAAACAGCCTTGCAGTTTGTGAATCAACCAGAGCATGCCGACAAGATTATTTCTTTCAATTCTGAACGATTTTACTGTCATACAGAGTACTTGGTTCTTAGAAGTCAGTATTTTCGGGCTCTATTTTTTGGGGTCTACCGCGAATCAAGCATGGACTTTATCTCCGTTCACCTTCCGGCGCCTGGAAATATGGAGCCTATTTTGCGCTTTATGTACTCGGGTATTGCAGAAGACGCGCTATTCGAAGCTCACGAAATGTTCAGCACGATTCAAAATGCAAATTTCTTGGGTGTCGAGGAACTGTTGATTAAGGCAGCCGAGAACTTCGCCTCGAGGTGGAAATTTTACGCCGTTTCTCCTCTGTTTAGGAGAAGCATCGTTGATTCTGAATTTTTATCATCGATTTTAGAGTTGGGAACAAAAAACAGCGTTTTCAGCATGGGAGATATGCTAAGAATTGTAGTTTGGTGGAATGAAGAGGAAGAAAGCCCAGAATGTAACTTTTCCGAGTCAATCCGTCTTCTTATGGAGCACAAATGCTTAGAGAAATCGGGCTTGATGGATTTGGAATGGGCGCTGGGCAAGAAACCTCCGCTGTTTTGCTTTATTGAACAGTCCGCGTTCCGCCCAGTGTATCAACACGCGATCCAGAATTCCGCGCGCGCACTCGAGAAAATGCGTGTGCACGAGGACAAAATCAAGAGTCTTTCTCAATGCGTGCGGACATTGACGAGACAACTCGAGGAAGTCCGCTGTAACAGATGCCAAATGTTCCTTCCTCGGGCAGCCATGAAGACCAGAACCTGTATTGTGACGCGACATCAGGGAGAGTACGTGGTGAACAAGGGATGGAGTTGTTGCAGGCAGCTGATTAAGAGAAGCAAAGGATGTAAACCTGTCAGTTTGTCCAGGCACTGCATGTCTTTGAATGCAAGGGCAAGATGATTGACGTGGATACCGTTGCTGTGACAATGCCAGAGCTCTGTGTAATGACAATAGAGGGTGATGTTATTCGTGATAACCTTGTGAGCCCCGCAGTTAGGAAAACCCTTTACATGGCCCTCGCCAATTTAGTGTTATTAATCATTACTGATATATTATATACAAATACCAATTATTAATTTCTTTTAGGCATTAAATTTCCTCTTGGCGAGTTTTTAATTAGTTTAGGTAGATATAAATTTTCTTTACAGAAGGAATTATTTCTTTTACGGTGTCTTTTACGAAACTGTTGAACACGAGTTTCGTTATTGACGTTTTACGATATTCAGATGAATTTTCAGGTTGTGACACGAGTTTTATATCAATTTATTTTTAAAAACACAAGTTTTCGTTCAATTTATTTTAAAACTTTTTGAAAAATAATTTTGAAAAACCATATTGATTGTCTTGGTGTATTTATTTGAATGAGACTAAGAATTTACTTTCGAACCCTCTCTGCTCTATCTTTGCCCCAATTTTTTTTTCCCGTTTTTAGAAATACTCCTCATCACCCCTTCCCCTCCCCTTCAAATCTAGACGTGGCCTCTTATTGGCAAAGGAATATACAAAGATATGTTATTCTTCGTAAATCAAATACTTCTAGCATATAATTGATTCCAACCAATTCATGAACAAATTAGATTGATTTAATCGAAATGATGGAAATCTGTCTGAAATTTGATGGAACCGGGAGAACCAGCCAAGCCCCCCCCCCCTTAGGGCAACCCCTGGGCATTTGAACTTTTGAAAATTGTTTGGTTCAAATTCCCGTCCGTTTGGGCCAAAATTGTGCCCCACCCAAGTGCCAAATTTGATGATCAACCGTTTCGAAAAGACAAAATTAGCGACCGTTACTTTCAGTATTCATCGACCAAGCTTCAAAACATGAACGTTTTTTAAATTTTCTTCTACGCCATGCCCTTCAGAAAGTGAACTCCTAACCTCGAATTGAAACACCTCGATGTTTAAGATAAACACTTGTGCTCCACTGGGCTCCTGACTGGATAGACTTGACACTTCCAGTTCCAATTCCTCACCCCAGCTAAGCAAGGTTCAAATTGTCCACCCCTGGGCAAGGACGACAGACCCGTGCGTTGTCCGAAGGGAGGAGAATGTTGAAGCTTCTGATTGATCGGCGCACAATTCAGACGTAACCGTCCAAAATCTCACGGAACTTTTTGCATAAGAAGTCAGACACACAGCAAGTGGACCAATGGGAGGTTGGGATCTAGAAAGGATCCAGTTCCTGCTCAGTAACCGCGCCTTACTTTTGTCAGAATAGTCTCGTAGAGGAAATCTTTTCTCAAAATTCACATATTTTTAACTAGATGGATAGAAAAATGGTGTCTTATTGCCGTGCTTGTGGGCTCTTACTGTTCCTTTCTCTATTTTCTTTGATAAAATCTGACGATACGCAGGCTGCGGGGATGCATAACCCTCTACACGATTCAAAACTAACACACGATAAAGAGTAAGTGTAAAATCCTTATAGTTAATAGTTTCAGATGTAATATTATTTGTTCTAAACCAATAATAAGGTTTCTGTCTCCCTTTGCGTAAGGTTTTTCGTATGTTATTTATTTTCAATCTATTTTCGAGCTAATTGTATCGTTTTATTCAGGAACCAACCACAAAATGACCGTAGCGTATTAACTTATTACACGTGTATTGTAGGAAGCCTTGTCCATCGATCAACTTTTTGATTTTGAAATGAGTAGTGTAAGATAACATCAATTGTGATGATCTGGAAAACAACTGGACTCTGAAATTTGGTTGGTACGAGCCAGCAGTTACGTATTGCCAATCCTCTCATTGTAGAATTCCCAAATATTTATCCTTTTCAGATTTACAATCCAGAATCATTTTTTCCCCTCTGAGATCTCACATGCAAGTCACAAATCTCCTTTTGGTAAAATTTCCGCACAGCCCCATACTATTATAAAACAAATCTGTTTTCCCAATGGCAATGTATTGTTTTAGTCATTGTTTTCTCTATTCAAGAACTGAATGCATAATGAAGTATGGGGCTGTGCGGAAATTTTACCCTCCTTTTTTTGTAATTAGATAAATCTAGCATGCTAGAAAGACAATGGGAGATCCTCTGTTTAGTTTGTGTTGCAAATAGGGCACTTTTTTAATTAACTCCCAGAAAAGATTAACATGTAACTTCTTCCCATAATAGTTCCATGCATTAACCAGCAAACAGATTACAAGAATACCCAAAATCATCAGGTAGAAGTTGTTATCTTGGTCTAAAACCAAATTCTTGCTACTAATATACTGGGAGGTGTGTAGCAGCCATAGGAGGGAATTAAGAATCATATCTTGAGAGTAAATGGATTAAGTCAAGTACATACGTACTCTGACTGACATTTTTATTCAAATTGCAGCCATATCAAGGAACATCTTAAGGACGAAATTGACTTGAAGGATGAACAGATGTCTGACGAGGATCTCCAGTTCCACTACTTTAAACTGCATGACTATGACAATAACAACAAATTGGATGGAATTGAGCTAATGAATGCCATGACTCATTATCATGATGAAGAAGGTGAAGGAAAGAACCCACAGTATAGTGATGACGAAATGGGACACATGATAGATCAAATTTTAGATGAGGATGACCACAACAAAGACGGCTATATTGATTATCCAGAATTTGTAGCATCACAGAAGTCTTAACATACAGAGATTGAATATTATATGTTTGTGTTTTTGAGAAAATAAATATGCAATGGTCAATTTGTTACTGGTGGTGTCCGTTATAACTTGAGCGGGAAGGAGACATGCTTTTTTCAGTGCCAGCTTGTTTTCCAGTGTCTGCAAGGGACATTGGAAGTGCTAGGGGAAGGGAGGAGAGGAGAGAGAGAGACAGAGAGGGAGGAGAGGGGCAGGCAACAGTAGAAAGTCCTTGGAACTCTTGGTGGGGGTCGCTATCAGGTTTTACAAACATGTACTTTAGAACACCTGTAGATGTTGTTGTTTTTTTAATTCTGAATTTGTTGTAGAGAAATAGAGCTTTCACATATATAACTAGTGCTATAGTCTATAAAATTTAAAATTGATCTGAAAATTTCACCATCATTCAAAGTTTAAAGGACAAATACTTAGACTGTTCACTCCTGTGGTCTCCTTGAGGACCACAAAGGTCCAGAGCCATGTTCTTTTTAACCCTTTAACCCTTAAGAGTGACAAGCATCTAATTTCTCCTTACAATATCACCAACTAAACAAACTCTTGATTGTTAGACAAATTCTCCTTGTCAGCACCTTAGTAAATGTAAAGAGAGCAGAATGGAGAATATGAATACTGATGTTAGGGTGTAAAGGGTTTATACCTGGTAACACTCACCTTCAGTGAAAGTCCAGACAAGTGTGCTTGGATGTTTGGTTTCTCCACTTCCCCTCCTGTACATGTGTGTCATACTTATGGATGGTACCAACTAAAGCTTCTAAATAAATTTTACATGCCAGGAAGAAGCTTTAGAAAGAGGGATGTCTCCTTCCTCAGACTTTCTCTATCAGACACCACTTAAATTATTTTTTAGAAGAATGATTATCAAAATTAATTACTTGGATGGATGTAAAAGAATGATGTTTAATGTAATCAGTTATGAAATATTGTAATTTTCTTCTTTTCAAAATCAGTCTCTTTAGTCTGAATTTTGCTGAACAAAAGTAAAATGTGTATCATACTTTGTCTATATGACAAAATCAGCCCTAAGATGTAGACAATTTTACTTGTCTTAATTGTTGACTGATATTTCTCAAGTCAAGGAATGGGCACTTCATTTACTGGTCACATTTAACCCTTTAATTCCCAAGATCTCATTAGTAATTCTCCTCACTGTCTGCCAGACAATTCTTATGATGTTACTTCAGGGAATTTGGTATTGGATCAACTAATTGTCCCCTCATCTATATTTGTCTTCATTCTCATCACTTATCTGCTCAACGCTGCATTGATCTTGTAAGGAGAAATTCATGTCTTGGACATTCGAGTGAATTAAATAGCTAAGACATTTTTCTTCTTATATCTTTGTCCCATTCCCAGTTCTCAAATCACATTCCCAGTGATGCAACTGATATTCTCTCAAGCCAGCCCATGACTGGCCAACCTCAGTTTCTTTTTCATCTCTCTAAGACAAAATCTTCATTTGTTTCACATAGGGCTGCAGTACATTGTTTTTTTTGGTTATATATGCTGCATTTAAAACTCTTCTACAGAGAACATGGATGATGGTAGTTCTGTGCCCTTAGTGAAAGTTTTAAGGGAAGGGCACAAGGTGGTTGTATTGTCCCTTAATTTGGGTCATTGTAAAGGAGGGGGGGGGTGGGTGTCGTGTGGAGGTGTGGAAAGTAAAGGTTACATTTTTGAAAGAACAAATTTTAACTGTCTCAATAATATGACAAGCAATGTTTTTTTGAAAGTTTTTTGTTTTTCAGTTCTGTATCTTGACTGAAATAGCAACATATATTTTTTCATTCCTCTCTCTATGGCCTTAAAGGCCAGAAATTCTTCTGAAATTCTTCAGGAACAAGCAAATTCTCAAGATATCCTCTCTTTAGCAACCAAAATAAATAATGTGAAATGACAGTTCCAGAACATACAACAAAATATGGACATTTTCATAGCTTTATTTAACCAGCACCAATATTACACATAAAAAATGATAAGCTCCTGTGTGGACTCTTAACTCTACATTACTGGTGATCCTTGGTTATTCCACCCTCCAAATACCCCAAAATGTAACTAGCTGTCCTTTGATTCCCAGACAATTCCCCCTTGTTTCCAGGCTGTTTTTGGAGCTGCAAGTACAATTTGGAAAAGCAACATCAAGTTTGATGGATCAGTTGTGAGACTAACCAACCCTTTGACCTGTAAGAGTGACTAGCATCTAATTTCTCCTAAAAAAACATTACCCCATGATCACATGTTAAGTCAGAAGAATAAAGGAAATGATCACTAACTAAAAAAGCTCTTGACTGTTCAACAAATTCTCCTTATCAGCACCTTAATAAATGTATAGATAACAGTATGGAGAATATGCATCTTGACGTTAAAGGTGTAAAGGGCTAATCTTTTGAGTCAGTCATGCCTTTGCTTCAAGTGATGATATTTTCTAACTCTAATGGACTAGGAAAAAATAACTGATCCTGATTTGAATGGCACTATTCTCAGCAGAAATTACTTTATTTCTTTCTTTCTCCAAGAACAGGGGTCTAAGTTCCAGTTTGCAAAATGTTAAACCAAGTTTGCAAATTTTATTCTCATGTTTAACCATTGTATGTTGATTTTTTATTCATTTTTCAATTGTTTTTGCTTTATTAAAGGCTTCATATTTGTACAAAAACCAATATTTATTTTAACCATCTCTGCTTATAGTCATAAAATCTCTTGGTTTCCAGCCCCATAAGGCAAAAGTAAAGAAGCTCAAAAATTGGCCAACATTAACCCTACATAGATATTCAACGTCTCTTTGAGTATTCAACTCGATATCTCAGCAGCTGATTGGCGATATCAAACACACATAAGAAATTATCGTAATTTTACACCTGTGCAGTTACAGCTTTTCTCAGGCTTAGAAATCTTTTCCACATGTTAAAAAATTTTTCCAACACAGCAATTTTCAATCAAAATTGATGTTTTGGATCTATAACCATCTGCATACTTTTGAAAAGGTGAAGAGAGTTTTCCTCCTTACAGGAAAGACTCAAAAGTTCTCACATCAATTCATAGTCTCCCGTACCTTAGTCACACTTCACTCTGCACCTCTTCCCTTTCCTACTTTTTCCCTTGCAACTCTTCCCCTCGCCGCTTGGGGGCGGGTTGGTGCAGGTTCGGTACTTGTACATTTTGCCTCTCTTATTACACTTCTTGCCTTTACATTCACCATACTTACTCCAATTGGTCCACCCACCATCTACTGTAAATTTAAAATGAAACTAAATCAATGAATTTTAGACAAATATTTCCTTGGCGCATTGAAAATAGGAACCAAACGAATATATGTGAATTTATAACATCTCTCAGTAAGTATGTCCTCTATGATTGAGTACAAAGAACGCGCGAAATAGAGTACAAAAATCTTGCGATATTGTACGGTCATTTGGACGGCTGGTTATTTTGTACTGTAAAAAACCAGTTTAACCAGTCCGCTGCACGCACTACGCTTCTCTATCTGCTTTGCTTTTCCCGCCTTGAGAGAAATGAGCTGAAAGACTTGGACAATAAATAACTCATTAAACGTTTTGGTGTGTAGTAACGCTGTGTAGTTTTACTCGTTGTTTGTATTTTGTCTCGCCTTACGGGCTCACCGAAATACGGCACAACTGGTAAAATACTCAGCAAAAGAAAGACTTGGATAATAAATAACTTATTAAACGTTTTGGTGTGCAGTATCGCTGTGTAGTTTTACTCGTTGTTTGTTTTTTGTCTCGCCCTACGGGCTCACCAAAATACGGCACAACTGATAAAATACTCAGCAATACTACACACGAAAACATCTCATAAGATATACAATTTGTACTCCACTCGAGCGTTGCTTGTACTTCACCTTGTGAAGTTGGATAATAATAGCCTATAGTACGATTAGTAGACGCTGAGAAAAGATATTTGAAGTCATTTTTTAAAGGATGTGAGGTACCTACCATCACAAGGCTCCACATTACAAACCATTGTTTCCTTAGCTGACCCTGAACATTGGGCTCCACCTCCTGACGGAGGGGGATTGGTACAGGTTCGTGAGCGCTCCTTGATTCCACCTCCACAAGTGGCGCTGCATTCTCCAAAAGGTCCGAATTCAGACCATCCACCATTAACTGCAGCAGAAATAAATAAGTTATTTCTAAAATAAGCACTACGCTTCTCTATCTGCTTTGCTTTTCCCGCCTTGAGAGAAATGAGCTGAAAGACTTGGACAATAAATAACTTATTAAACGTTTTGGTGTGCAATATCGCTGTGTAGTTTTACTCGTTGTCTGTTTTTTGTCTCGCCCTACGGGCTCACCGAAATACGGCACAACTGGTAAAATACTCAGCAATACTACACACGAAAACATCTCATAAGATATACAATTTGTACTCCACTCGAGCGTTGTTTGTACTTCAATTTGTGCAGTTGGATAATAATAGCCTCTAGTACGATTAGTAGACGCTAAGAAAAGATATTTGAAGTCATTTTTTAAAGGATGTGAGGTACCTACCAGCACAAGGCTCCACATTACAAACCATTGTTTCCTTAGCTGACCCTGAACATTGGGCTCCACCTCCTGACGGAGGGGGATTGGTACAGGTTCGTGAGCGCTCCTTGATTCCACCTCCACAAGTGGCGCTGCATTCTCCAAAAGGTCCGAATTCAGACCATCCACCATTAACTGCAACTGAAATGAATAAGTTATTTCTAAAATAAGTAAGTTTTTTGATCGACATACGATTATTTTCATTGTGAATGATAAATTCAATCATATCATAATATGATCTTATCGCTGCTCTCATCTTGAGGAGCAAAGTATGAGTGTGAAATGAGGCCCGATTATTGCAAATCTTGTCACCAGTGCCTTTCACCTTAATGGTTTGACATTTCATTTGAAATGCAGAAATATTCTGGGTTCTTTTATCTATCAGAGTTCCAATGGTTTGTTTCCTTTTACAGTTTCAATTTTACATCTTTCTTTAGTTAAATCTTGTACCCTTTTGATAAACTTAACGCATCACTCAGAGTCTTAAACTTCCCTCTTTACTATAATTGTAAAGATTTTGAAGCACATAGAACGCAATACCTTTCTTCATGCTGCAGCATTTGAATTTTTCAATGCAGTAAAGGTGCTCACAGCCGCCTTTGTAGATTCCAGTCATGTAATAGCCATCCCGTTTGCATTCGCTCCAACCTTTCTTGTCGAACGAAAGGTAAACATCCTCATCATAACAGTCATCATAAGCGTTCGGATGATTCTGTGGACGACAGCACTTGGACTCTTCGATGTTGTAAATATTTGTTGGATAGGTGATATAGATGCCCTCCATGTAATAGCCAGCAGGACACAGAGCCCAAACATGTTTTCTGAAAAAGAGAAGTGAAAAGGAAAAATGTAGGTTATAGAACAACTGAAATAGTGTTCAAACTTACTTTAATACCTCTACGCTATGGAAAGGATATCCGTGTTTTTGTAACCTGGTAGACTGTTATACCTCGAGCATTATTTTTGGATAGAGCTTCACTGGTTTATTTTAAAAGCCTAAATACGGCAAAACCTAAGAGAGGACATTCTATTATGCGCTGAACAATTCGAATCTTCAAAATCCCTCCCCCCCCCCCCCTC